GGCCGATGGCCTGGGCATTCCTTCCTGAGGCCACTGCTCAGCCGCCTCCCCCGCCACCTCACCCCCTGAGGCCACGGCCTTCAAGTCTTGGTGCCTCCGGTTCCCCCTGAAAGTGGCGCAATGACAGCGCCCCCGGGAGGGCTGTGACCGGCCCCAGCGCAGCGGCACCGCAGGGCAGTGCCCGGGGACACTCGCTCAGCCGATGGCATGGCTCTGGCGGTGCCCATTGCTCTCGTTTCCCAGCACCGGCATCTCGGGGTTCCGATCGGCGCGGCTCTCTGGAGGCTGCTGTGCAAAACCCTGTTCTACCTGCGCGGTCTCAAACGTTCATCCTTCGTCCCTCTGTCTCCAGGTCAGCTTTCCTTTTTAATTCCACGGAAGCTGTCGGGAGTTTTCATCTCCAGAGCTCCCCTGACAAGGTGCCAGGAAGGGTGAATGCTGTCAACTTTCCAGCACTGGAGGTGCTGCAGTTAGACGGTGGATCCGATAGGAGCTAGAAAAGTTGGGCTGTGAGAACGGGAAGGCTTCCTGTCCTGGTTCCGGGGACGGGAGGACGGGAGCGGGCCACTCCGCCCGGTGCGGTGCCCTCCCCTTCCCCGCAGGTGAGACTGGCACTGAGACCTGGGTGCTGGGTGCCACGTGGGCGAGGAGGGACGAAGGAGGTCACATCTTGGCAGCCTTGAAGAACTATACAGACTAGGACCTAGGTCTTAGGTGGTCTCTAAGGCTCCTGGCTCACACGTGTGATCTTATTTGTATACTTTTAAGAAAATACAAATGTATACTTCCCTTTGGGTCTTTTTTTTTTTCCATGCATTTAGGCCAGATTTGTGAAGACTGGTTTTTATTTTTATGGTCCTGATCCAAAAATAGCATAAACTGTTTGATCTATGAATTGAGGTAAAAACAGATCAGGAGTTGGGAAGACATGGGAAACATTTTCAACATCCAAACACTCTCCAGGAGGCGGGGAGGGGGATTCACCAAAGATCTTATGTGAAAATATGCATTACCTATGGGCACAGATAGGGTGGGGAAGGCCCAACAACACTTCTTATGGAATGCTCTGATTAGCTGTCACCAAAACTGTGCTATCCTGAACTGAAAAGCAGAAGCCCCACTCACACAGCCTTGTAGTCCCACTGGACCCAAAGATTTCTTTGTACATGGTAGGGCCTCAATAAATGGTTATTGGATTAAATTGCCAGGTTGTGGTTTAGCTCTCATCCTTTAAGGAGACCTTGGGAACCACTAAGTCATGCAAGAAATGTTACTCAAGGGACATCCCTGCAAACATCATAAACAAGAATCCAAGTCACTAGTTAATAATGAGATCACGGGAATTTGGATGATTGACACTGGCCACAGGTTAATTTGCAAAATGAAGTAGACATTGCAGGTATGTTTTTTCCATAAATTATACAAGTAATTTTTTAAATTTTATTTGGGACTTCATGAGCACCATTAATTCAATTTTATACTTCAATAATCACAGTCTGAAACTATAGTATTTTTAAAAATATTTTTATTGATTTCAAAGAGGAAGGGAGAGAGAGATAGAAACATCGATGATAAGAGAGACTCATCAATCAGCTGCCTCCTGCACACCTCCTACTGGGGATCAAGCCCGCAACCTGGAATTGTATCCCAGACCAGAATCAAACCCAGGACCCTTCAGTCTGCAGGCCGACACTCTATCCACTGAGCCAAACCAGCAAGGGCTATAGTACTAAAATTCAGAAATCCCCATATCTTTTCCCAAGTCAAAGTGTGTGTCATCACTGAGTCATGTCACATCAATATAAAACTTGATTTTGTTTTATTAGGTATAACTTCTAGGGCTTACCATAATTTTATTATTAAGCCTCTTAGAGGTATTGTTAAATTATAAACCCAGATTTTTATCTTTCTTGTTTACTAAGATATCCCAGGGTAGTGCTTGACATGTGATAGGCATGAAACTTCACTTATCTGTGGCATTGTAACAAATTTTAAATTTATGTCAATGATTTTAAAGAAAATATAGACTCGGTTGTCTAAATCAGAATGGGCAAATTTTTTCTTAAAAGGGAAAGATAGTAAACATAAGAGCAGTCATAGATAGTATGTAAAATAATAAATGTGGCAATGTTCCACTAAAAAATGTACCTATAGAAATAGGTGGTTTTGACTCACAAGGTCATATATTACTAATCCTGAAATAATTATATTCACTCCATGATTATATTCACTCCAACATTAAATGCCAGATATTAAAATACCCTTTAACTGGAGAAAGGGTAAAAGTTTGATATCAATAAAACACTGAAAGTGAGAAAAAGGGGGAGGGGGGACAGAGAAAGAGAGAGAGACATATGGAATAACAGTTTGTGCTACCAATTAAAATATTTCCCAAATACCAAAAGTTCAAAACTACAACCAATGCAATACTAGATGGATGGACACTTGCATTTCACTTTTACAAAAGTTATATGTTATGCAAATGAAAAGAACTTAAATGTTGCCAAAAGTAAAAGTATATGTTTGAATCCCCCACAAGGATGCCATAATAATTAAGGCCAGAAGTACAATTTGTGGTAAGAACATAAAAACAGAGGACATAGAGCAAAAAATTCTACAAAGCAAACCATCCATCCTTCACTCTCATCTTCAGAATATGGATCAAAGGGTAAGCCCTAGAGTCTCCTGTAAATTGAGACTTCGAAATGTAAATCCATGGCTATCTTTGATTTTTTTAAGAGGGGTAAAGCAGTTTCCTAAGGGAGAATTTTTTTTTTTTTTAATAAAGCTGTGGGAAGCCTTGCAGGGCAAACTTCATCCTCACAAGCAGCAGTGCTTTCTGAAATCTCATAAGGAACCAATGCTCCTCCGTCGGTCAGGAAGTCGGTTCCAATGACATTGCACATAGTTATTCCTCATGGTTGGAAAGGAAAAACAACAGTCAACATCTATGTACTCAGTATAAGTGAAAACGTAATGAAGAACCAACAGCCACATCCACACTGTTCATGTTAAAAAGTCATCCTGCCGAAACCGGTTTGGATCAGTGGGTAGAGCGTCGCCTTGCGGACTCAAGGGTCCCGGGTTCAATTCCGGTCAAGGGCATGTACCTCGGTTGTGGGCACATCCCCAATGGGGGATGTGCAGGAGGCAGCTGATCAATGTTTCTCTCTCATCGGTGTTTCTGACTCTATCCCTCTCCCTTCCTCTCTGTAAAAAATCAACAAAATATATTAAAAAAAAAAAGTCATCCTTTGGTTTAAAAGAGAAGTTATTCATTGCAGAGCTAGAAGACAACTCCATGGGAAGATTGTGAACCCCTTAAAATTGTATGCAAGATGTTATGTATGCGGTTTGTTACTTATAACTATCCGAGTTTGTCTTGTTTATTTGTGGGTGTATTATTTTGTTGTTGTTGTTGTTGTTGCTGTTGTTAATCCTCACCGAGGATTTTTAGAGAGAGTTGAAGGGAGGGGGAGAGACAGAGACAGAGAAACATTGATGTTAGAGAGACTTATTCATTGGTTGCCTCCCACATGCACCCAGACTCAACTGAGGTACATAACCTTGACCAGAATCAACCCACGAACCTTCAATCTGAGGGTCTACGCTCTGTCCACTGAGCTAAACCAGCAAAGGTTGGTGTATCATTTTGTTCTTTTTTTCTTTTTTTTCTGTCTCCTTATCTTTTCTGCCATGAAATTGGGAAACTTATCTTCTTCCCTAATCTACCCTGTGGTCCAGATCGATATCTGATACAGAATTAGCTCCTATAAATAATTGTACAAGGAATGAAGGAAGAGGAAGAGGGGAGGGGAAAGGAAGATAAGGAAGAAAGAATGCAGGAAAAAACAAAGGAATACAAATACCATTTTAGGGGAAAAAATTCTAACTTCTCTCATATATTCAAGAGTATCTGTGACTCAAAAAAAAAAAAAAA